CTTTTGACACTGAAATGTCATTAATCTTAACAGAACTTGTGCTTTGGGTTTTTTCCCCCCTTTTTTCTCTCACTTCAGGAGTTTTACAATAAATCTGCCACCAAGTTTGTAAAGCTCTCTTTGCATAGTCACTTATACCAAGAATGATCTCAAAGGCCTAAAAGGTGCCCATGCAACCATGCAGGCAAACATGACCAGTAGAGTCCATGGACAACAGGCTTTTCGGTATGGAAAAATGGAACAAGAGCACCTCCCCATGGCCAGAGTTGAGCATTGCCTCCAGACGCTGGAGATGGAAAGGGAAACCTTTGCCTTTGTTTGTACTGTATGTCGTTGGTATAATATACTAGCCATCCCCTGCCACGCATTTCTGTGTATATGTGTTTTGTGTGTATATATATGTGTATATGTGTGTGCGTGCGTATTTGTGTATATGTGTTTATATGTGTGTTTGTGTATATATGTGGTTTTGCGCATGCGTTGTAATGCATTTTTTGTTTTTTGGCTCTTTATAATAATAATAATAATAATAATAATAATAATAATAATAATAAAACTTTATTTGTACCCCGCTACCATCTCCCCAAGGGACTCGGTGCGGCTTACATGAGGCCAAGCCCACAATACATCAATAAACAAAACATCAATAAACAAAAGCAATAACAAAACAATCAATACAATACAATTCATATAAATCACATAAACAAAAAATAAACAATCAATGGTCAACAGTGACACACAAGTAATTAAAACCAATGGCCGGGCCAAATGTAATAGATTAATATTTAAAAATAATGCTGACGTGAACAAGGTAGGATATAACTGGGATAGGATTTTCAGAGAGAAATGAGGGAATGCAGTCAGTCCTAAGTCAGTGGTAAAGGGCATATTGCTGAGAGTTTTCCTTATTCTGTGAAGGCACACTGGAACAACCATATTTTCAGGCTCCTCCTAAAGACTGCCAGAGATGGGGCATGTCTGATGTCCCTGGGAAGTGAGTTCCAGAGTCGGGGGGCCACCACCGAGAAGGCCCTCTCCCTCGTCCCCACCAATCGCGCCTGCGAAGGAGGTGGGAGCGTGAGCAGGGCCTCTCCAGATGATCGAAGAGATCGTGTGGGTTCGTACACAGAAATGCAGTCACGCATTTAAGTCCCTTCCACTGTGTTTTTCTATGTTTGTGTGACTGATGGCCACTCCTTGGCCTGATAGGTGTATTATGTCCAAATTTTGTGTCAATTCGTCCAGTGTTTATTGAGTTATGTTAATTCCACAAATGAACATTGCATTTTTATTTATATAGAAAAGGCATTGAATGTTTGCCTATATATGTATGTACTCTGAGTCCCCTCAGGGAGATAGAGCGGAATATAAATAAAGCGTCTTAAGTTGGCTTTCTTAAGACATGGAGGGTCTAGGGATAGTCAGATAGAGAGATAATCTATGTTCTTCATTGGCGCATTACAGACTTTCACAATTACTTCCAATCTTTTTATAGACCAAAAGAACACAAAGAGGCTTTTTGGATTTTCAATTTTTTATATATATAATAATAAAATTGTGCCAGCAGAAGCTTTTGAAAGGCAAATGATAAATAAATAACAGTTAAACTGAGTTCCTGAGGAAGAACCTACCACATAAAAGAATGTCAGATAGATGTAAATATAAAAACATGGCATTATTATATAAAAAGTAGTAATACTGCATCTTTCATAAACTGCCACAACACAAGCACTGCATATCTCAGAACACTCCTTTCATACAAATGTAAACAAATACACAATCATTTATTTAGTTTAGCCTGATGGATTTACAGGTGTTCTTGCTTTAGATATCTAAGTAATGGGTAGGATATGATAGGCTAAAATGTTAAGAAATAATATGTGGAATAACATAGGGGGGGAAAGAAGCCACAGATTTAAAAACTTAAAAACAAAGCAAAAACAGTGGAATATTGCCCTCAAATATTATTGCAATCAACCATTTAAAAATAGGACTGTTAAACTGATCTGAATCAAGGACTTGGGGGGGAAACTATTTAGGCATATATAGAATATAAATGTAGATACTTATGGCTTAATTATCTTTAGTATTCCGTTATTTTGAATAATCCTTATGTTAACATAGCTAATAAAAATGCATATTTTAAACAGTTTAAAAAATATTTTAAAGTATGCTTGTATTTTGATAGAGATGAAGAATTAGTGTGGTCTATCATAATACATAACAATATAATAGACCAAGAATAATGGAGACCAGCGTTTTGGGTAACTTACTTAGACCTCTAAGGCTGCAATCCCAAAGATATTCATTTATATGTATGCATGGTTAACATATGGAGCCAAGGTGGTGCAATGGGTTAAACTCTTGTGCTGGCTGAACTGCTGACCTGAAAGTCAGCGGTTCAAATCTAAGAGGGAGTGAAATCCCATCTGTCAGCTCCAGCTTCCCTTTGTGGGGACATGAGAGAAGCCACCTACAGGATGACAAAACATCTGGGCATCCCTTGAGCAATGTCCTTGCAGACAGCCAATTCTCTCACACCAGAAGCGACTTGCAGTTTCTCAAGTTGCTTCTGACATGATTTTAAAAATGGTTAAAATAGGCCTGTTTGTCTAAAAAAAGATAAAACAATTCACAATTTCCAGAAGCCCCAGAGCACTGTCAGTCGTTGTATCAATATGTTTATTAATAATTATCAATATTATGTAATCATGTTATTGCAAGGTATATACCCCAGGAAAACAGTTTTCCTACCATTTCTCTTACTCTGTTGAAACAAGTGAAGACAGTGCCTCTCTATAGATTAAAAAAAAAATACTTTCGCTTAGGGTTTGGAAAAGTCAATTTCTTTGGACTGGAATTCCAGAATCTCACAGCTAGTAGAGTCTCAGGAATTAACAACTTGGGTAATTCTGGAGTTCTGTTCCCTGCTAAAATATTTTTTCTAGCTGTGGGGGTTTATCCTGTATGTATAATGTAAGCCTCCAAGAAGCAAACATGCAAGATGTACCGACATATCTTTATGTCCCCAAGGAATGCCTATATTTTGACCTTTCTATGAATTGCCAAGGGCAACTATGTGTTGTGATTTGCCACCATAAGATATACTCATGTCTAAGAATAAAATTTTAATCAAAAAAATCAACCCCTCAAAACTGGGTTGATTTATCCATGCACTGCAGTATTAGTGTTTGAATCATAGAGTTGGAAGAGATCTAATGAGCCATCCTGTCCAACCCCCTGCTAAGAAGCAGGAAAACTGCATTCAAAGCACCCCCGACAGATGGCCATCCAGCCTCTGTTTAAAAGTCTCCAAAGAAGGAGCCTCCACCACACTCTGGGGCAGAGAGTTCCACTGCTGAACGGCTCTCTCAGTCAGGAAGTTCTTCCTAATGTTCATATGGAATCTCCTTTCTTGTAGTTTGATAGGGTTATTATGTTTTAATTATGTAGTTTGATGGGGTTATTATGTTTTAATATGTTTAATGGTCTTAAATTGTATGTCTATTGTTTCTAGTGATTTTATGTTATATTTTATATGTTTTTTATAATGAGGGACTGAATTTTTGCCTAGATGTATGTTGTACGCCACTCTGAGTCCCCTGAGAAGAGCGGGATAGAAAGGAAGTAAATAATAGTAATAATAAAATAACTTATACATGAGTATATACAGTAGTTGCCATAACAGAAAGGTACATCCGGGACGCCTCTATAGCTCAATAGCGACACCCAAGCTTTATTCTTATGGTCCAGTGGTTCTCAACCTGGGGTCCCCAGATGTTTTTGGCCTTCAACTCCCAGAAATCCTAACAGCTGGTAAACTGGCTGGGATTTCTGGGAGTTGTAGGCCAAAAAGATCTGGAGACCCAAGGTTGAGAACCACTGTATATGATCAATGCCTAATGTCACTCACTGAAGGGTATCTTAAAACTCTGGCCCAAGATAATGACTACTGGCTGGAGTAATGAATATTGGTTAGGAGAAGACCCAGCGGCCTGACAAAAGGCAACGCCATCGGTTCAACATATTCCAAAAAGGTACATATTGTCACTGAATCACCACCCTTTGCATTACTGATCAGAGGAATCCTATCAATTTAAGGACATAAGGCTCCTGAATCAAATTTAAGGCACAAGAGGTTCGCAAGTTATTATCTATATACTTTCTATACATTTTCACAATGATCATATGTATGAATACTATATGGTGACTTTCAAACAACTGAACACTGCATCTCATGTACTATAAGAATGTGCTGTAGGTATTGGCCACGGATTTATTTTTTTAAATGTTCTGTGATTTACCCTTCTTTGGGAGGATAAATATTCTGTCAAAACAAGATAATCAATAAAACTAAACTATCTCTTCCTCTTAAACAAGGCATGGGCAAACTTTGGCCCTCCAGGTGTTTTGGACTTCAACTCCCACAATTCCTAACAGCCTATGGGCTGTTAGGAATTGTGGGAGTTGAAGTCCGAAACACCTGGAGGGCCAAAGTTTGCCCATGCCTGTCCTATACACACACCACCAATCCCTTAAATTAGAGCTTTATAATTTGTTTTAAAAACATGTAATGGTGGCACACAATCAGAACAGAAAAACCATCCACACAATACCACACAATACATTATCAGCACACACGTTCCAAAGGTCCAAAGTTGTAGACCCTCAGTTTTTAAAAAAATGGATACACAGGGCCTGCCTGTGAATGGCAAGAAAAAGGTCATTTCAAACCCAAAAAAGCCCACCCCAGTCACAGCTCATGCACCATTCTCCACACCAATCGCTGAAATCACACTCTGACTGCCCCTTGCTCACACTCTGATTACACGAAATTCCAAAAATTGTTTTTAAATTGGAAATAAAGCAGCTTCAAAAAAATTGTCTCAGGATTTTGAAATTGCGGAAACATACACACAAAAGATTATGGCGCGGATACAATTGGCACCAGTACACTTAGGACATTCAACAGTGGACATTTCTCTCTCTCTTATTAAACATTATTGCACAGAGACCTTTAATTACACGTTCTTCAATCTTAAATGTAATTTCCTAAAAAGTGTGACGTAAGTGCGATGGATAATTTTTTAAAAAATGGAGAAAAGAATTAACAGCAGCATGATTTGTCAAAGTTAATCCCTATAGTTTAGTAGGAAAGACGCAACCCTGCTATAAACAAAAATAAGTGCTCTTTGCTTACTTGAAACAAAAAAAATAGCAAGATGCTGTGGAAGCCAGTAAATGTTCAGCATATGCAATATACTAACTTATATGGACATGTTGGTTAAGAAGGGGGACAAGCTCACACTTGGAAATTATAGTAAATTGCCAGATTTCAAGTGAACTCTTCAATATAGGTATTTACATTATTAAGTGGCCTAACTGGAGTCTTTAGCACTTAGAACCTTGCCTGCAAGTCTCTTGTCTCTTCAAGAGTTCTATCATTCACAAGTGGAACTTATCCCAACGAAGGGTTATATGAGGAAGACCCTACATTTGTGTATAAAGTGTTTGGTTTTTAGAAAACTCTGTAAGCAATTTACACATATACAGGTTGACAGGCTCCAGTCTGCTCCAGCCCATCTTTGCTTTCGACGTCTGAATTCTCAGACTGGCTTACTTCCACTCCAGAAGGCTTTGGGTATCTGAACGGGTATCCATTGTCATCAAAGAACCTTCGGAAAGTGAACTCATAGAAGGCATGTTCGGTATGTTTGCCACTAGAAGAAGTCTGTGGATCCCATGCCCTGGTGCTGTCTTCACTAGCGTCGTCCCAAGGATTGTCTTCCTCAATGGGGTCAAAATTGGAGGTGTCCATCGGGTGGCTGATCTTTGGGACGTAGGGAGCGGGCTGCCTGCGGATGTCCATCGAGAAGTCCATGGAGGCAAAGAAAGGATGAGCCTTGATGTCGTCTGCCCCATTTCTTCCAAGCCTGTCTTCAGCAGCACAACACAGTTTTGTGATAAGGTCGCTTGCTTCAGGGCTTAGCTTGACCTGGGAGGGAATGTGTAGAGTGTTCTCCCAGTTTATCACCTGAAGAGTCAAAATAGACCGTTAGCATACAATAATATTCCTTCTGAAATACAAAACTTCCCAGTGCAAGACAAGCTGCAAGTCATTTTCGTTACCCTATGAGGTTAGCTGCCCTATAAGGAGAGGCTTAACGGGACTGGGTTTGTTGAGTTTGGAGAAGAGAAGATCCGAGTCCCCTTTGGGGAGATGTTGGATGGTATAAATAAAGATTATTATTATTATTATTATGAAGGTTAAGACGGGACATGATAGCCATGTTTAAATACATTAGAAGACATTACACTGAGGAGTGAGTAATTGTTTTCTGTAGCTCCAGAGAATAAGACACAGCACAACCTTAATCAAACCTTAAGATAAGAGTCCACTTAAACATTAAGAAAAACTGTTTGATGACAAGAGTTGATTGACAGTATTATTATTATTTATTTATTTATTTCAAACATTTGTACCCCGTCTTTCTCAATTCCCGGGGGGGGGGGGGGCTCAGGGGGCTTACAACAGGCAACAAATTCAATGCCAACACATACATCATAACAATATAACACAAGTTAAAACATTAAATTATACAATATCAATTTAAAACATTATTAAGAACAACAATATAGCTGCATCCTAGTTCAATTCAGTATAATATGCTTCTTTCTCTTGAGGTTATTTAGTGGAGGCTGGATGGCCATCTGTTGTGAGTGCTTTGATTGTGTGTACCTGCATGATAGGTAGTTAAACTGGATGGCCATTATGTTCTCTTCCAACTTTATGATTCTATGAAATCACAACTTAAGAGGGCTTTAGCATAGCTCATTAATCACCAGCAGCAATAGATCACACCAATTGAAAGGTTGGCAGTTAGAAGCGTGGGTCGGGTGAGCATGCAGCTTTCAGCCCAGCTCACTTTTCACCTAAGCAGTTTGAAAACAGCTATGAATAGAGAAATTAGGCACTGCTTAAGCGGGGAAGTATTTTACAGCACCATAAAAAGGAAGTACCAGAAAATGCTGGTGATCAAAGAAAGGAGAAAGTCTGTGATCAAGGGCTGTTCGTCATAGGGAATGGAGCGACAACACCCCCCTGTGGCCGGAATTGAGCAGAACCTCCTGGATGCCGAAGTTGGGGAAAATGCCAACATATACCTCTAATAATATTAATAATAATAAACTTTATTTATACCCCGCCACCATCTGCCCAAAGGGCGGCTTACATGAGGCCAAGCCCAGCGATACATTACAGCAACATAAAATATAAACAACAAAATAACATCACAATAAAAAAAATAAACCAATCAAGTAAAATAAAAAGTACAAAATAACATAATGGAAAATAAAACACAGTGGGCGGGCCAACTCTATCTGTTGTCTGTCCTGTCTGATTAACGGCACTGAATGTTTGCTGTGTATATGTTCTGTGATCCACTCTGAGTCCCCTTCAGGGTGAGAAGGGCGGAATATAAATGTTTTAATAAATAACTAGGTACTTTGATCCCAACAGCAATTCTGCTTCTAGTTATGCTTCCTACATATTATTTTTCTATGTTGCAAAGAGAAAGCAACTGAAAATAGCAAACAACTGCATTGCTCCATGATCGGTGAAATCAATTGCATATTATTCCGTTCTGTCCCTGTGTTGACTCACATCATAATCCTGGAACCTGGGGAAACAATGCTACTATCTTGTGCTCTTCACAGAAGAGTGGGAACCAAAAGAGTGTGACATATCAAGTCAAATTACTCTCTTAAGGACCAAAATTATTTCTAAGCTTCAAAATGGTATTAACTAAAAAGGCAAAAAGGAGTTCTGATACTTAATAATATGGGTTATTTCAAAGACTAAGGGATTTTTAATAAGTAGTCATTCTATGTCAGGCATGGGCAAACTTTGGCCCTCCAGGTGTTTTCGACTTAAACTCTCACAATTCCTAACAGCCAGTAGGCTGTTAGGAATTGTGGGAGCTGAAGTCCAAAACACCAGAAGGGCCAAAGTTTGCCCATGTCTGTTCTATGTCCATACAGATAACATTTGGATTATATTCTAAGGAGCAGCAATATGTATGAGGAAGTTCATTGTTAGACTTATTAATAATCATATTTATATGCTGAAAAATATTATTTGAATTACATTGTAATTGTAAACAGACCAAAGACCTACTGACTCCAGTTTTTAGTTCTTCAAATGTTAGCCTTTCTTCATAATGGAATTAGTTGCTCTGGCCCCTGATCATTTTGTTAGTTCTCTTAAGTGCCTTTTCTAAATCTAAAATATCCTAGTTGTGACTGTAATTTTTAAAAACCATTTTTCTGTCCAAAACCATGTCTTGCCCAAATCTTTTAGTTACTTCAAGTCTGATTATCAATTTAGGAGAACGATGGAAAGAAGAGGAAAGACCAAAATATATGTTTTGATGTAACCTTCCCCCCACGGGTCTTACAATTTATATAATAACAATCGAGATGAGATGGATTTACCTTGAGCTGGGTTTCTGTGGGTGAAGGAGCCAGGAAGGGGGGCTGCCCTACTAGCATCTCAAAGAGAATCACACCAACGCTCCACCAGTCACAAAGCTGAGTGTAGCCTGAAAGGTAAGCAAGAAAAGCATACTATATGGTTCAGAAGAACAAGTTTATATAGAAAGTTTTCTGCTTTTTGTGGTTAAAGGCTTTCATGGCCGAAATCGCTGGGTTGTGTATTTTCTGGGCTGTATGGCCATGTTCCAGAAACATTCTCTCTGGGCATTATTCCTGCATCTATGGCAGGCATCATCAGGAGTTGTGAGACCTCACAACCTCTGAGGATAGCTGCCATAGATATAGGTGAAACATTAGGACAGAATGCTTCTGGAACATGGCCATACAGCCCAAAAAACTTACAACAACCCAATCACTACATAATTCCACAGATAAAAAAGTAGAAAAACATCCAAAGTTGTCAACCTCAATCATTCCTCCTGAGAGTAACGTTCACTTAAGAGAAGATCAGAATTAAAATAACCAGTCTCATCCAACAGAGATGGGAGCCACCTACCTTTGCGCAGCAGTACTTCTGGTGCAATGTAATTTGGAGTGCCAACTAATGAATGAGCTAAACATCTTTGATGCTGCTTTTTGGCTCTCTGTTCCAAGGTCTTCAATCTGTCTCCACACCTACAGTTAGATACATCATCCCAAAGATCACTTGGCTCCATGCTGTCCTGCCGGATATGGCTCCCTTTCAAAAGAGGAGAAAACAAGAAGAAAACAAGTATGATTATGTGGGAAGGTTACATAAAAGATCTTTCCATTGGGCAATTGGGCTCATCTTTAAGCTAGCAAGGCGGATAAACTGTTAGTTCTCAGCTCATTTCAGGCTCTCTAGTTTCTCTAGTAGAGGTTTTTATTTATTTTATTTATTTTGCAATTGTGTATACAATTACTTACATACTCTCAAACACTTCTGTTTCTAAGCAGCTTGGTCTTAATTACCACAAAAGTCTACCCTGTGATCATCTGCTTTTATCCAAAAGTCTGTCACTAAGCTAATTCAAGTCATTCTTTGCTCTGACCACCTTATATCATCCCAATAGTGTGTGTCATCTGCACCTGAATCTAAAAGATTCTTTGTCTTTACCATTAACACCTTTCTTGCGTTTGTTCCCTCATTATCTCTCCACTCTTATATTCTAGCACATGGTCTTCTTTACTACTCTTAGATATCTGTAAGCTCCCAAGAACTTACTTAAATGACAACCTTTGGTCATTTAAAAATGTTTTATTGTATTTCTATGTTTGGTCATTAGTTGACAGGTGGGCTAAAATGCCTATAAAATAATAATAATAATAATAATAACAATAATAATAACAACAATAACAATAATAATAGTAATAATAATACAGTAGACTCTCGCTTATCTGACATAAACAGGCCAGCAGAAAATTGGATAAATGAAAATGTCGGATAATACAGAGTCTCCTACTGTTACCCATCCAATGTGCCGTTAGACACCTAGCATACTAACAACAGGGACTCAAAGGGTTAAAGCAAGGCAATGCCTCAGGGCTAGAGTGGCCCAGCAGGAAGAGGAGCGTGGAAATCAGAGATGGGAGGGAGAACGCTTCAGCTTCCGGTCCTGCCCCTTTTCCCCCTTTCCTCCCTCCTCCTTCCCCTTGTCTTGCCTTTTTCACTTATTGGGAATGGAGAGAGAGTTGGGGAGCACTCCTTTAATTGAAGGGGAAATGCTGGGGGAAATAAATAGGGGGCATCAGATAAGAGCGTCGGATAAAACGGAATGTCAGATAAGTGACAGTCGGATAAGCGAGACTCTAATAGTATAGGTTTATATAGCATTATTAATAGTAGCATTATTTCAGTTTCACAATCTACTAGGTTTCACTGAATGGGTATTGGATCACCAGTGATTTGGATCCCATCAAAGCACCAAGAAATCAATGAGGCATTACTGAGCAATGCAGCATGTTCCAAGCCAACTTTTTGTAATTGTGTTATTGGGATCTTGTATGTGGAGATTTCATTCAGATGTTTTGTCAATCCTTCAGAACACCGATAATCACCAGCCCTATATCTGTCTCCTCCTTCAAAAAGTACTGGATCTCAATTGGTAGATTTCAGTAATGTTTTCTTTCTTTTTATTTTCAATGGCTCCCCATGGGATTGGCACATTTATTTTCAAATCTCCTTTTTTTGCAAACAAATTATGTATGGCATATTATGTTATAACTGTTTATTAGTCTGAATGATAAAATCTCATAATTAAAAATATATATCATTACCACCATGAGGAGAGGCAGGTAAGAAATAATATATTTATAATGATATTATAATTTGCAAAGACTCTGGCACAATCCAGTAAAGGTAATCCCAGTGGTCATCGGCACACTGGGTGCAGTACCTAAAGACCTTGGCCTGCACTTAAAAACAATCAGCCCTGACAAAATTACCATCTGTCAACTGCAAAAGGCCACCCTACTTGGATATTTGTCGATACATCACACAATCCTAGACATTTGGGAAATGTCTGACGTGTGATCGAATACAAAAGCCAGCACAGTGATCTTGCTTGCTGTGTACTAATCTTGTTGTGCATCAAATAATAATAATTATTTACAATTATGATATTTTTATTGGTTTTACCTATTATTAGCTGCCCTTAGTTGTATGTAAGCACCAACCCTTATCTCCTATTTTTACTAAAACTAACCATAAATATGTCAATGAAATTGACCTACATTCTTGTGCTGTTTACCCCGACCCCATCTCTTGCTCTTCCTTCTGTCTTTTGTTCCTCTCTTCCCTGTGTCAAACGTTTTTGTTAAACCTTCACAATGTCATTGAAAAGTCCTGAGAACAGGGATGTGTTTCCTCTTAGCCTTGATGATGCAATAATACAGAAACCTCAGCATGTTATTATGAAAACAAAACATTGTTATTAAAAACATTGAAATCTGCGCACTCCCATATATGTACAAGAACAATACCTTTCTGATAATATTTTGAGTTATGTGTCCATCGGAATCCCGTGCAGAGGCCAAAGTCTGTCAGTTTGATGTGTCCGTCAAGGTCAATCAGAATGTTATCGGGCTTGATGTCTCTGTGGATAAACCCCATTTTATGCACGCTCTCGATGGCCAGTGTGAGTTCAGCAATATAAAACCGGGCTAGCTTTTCTGGGAAGACCTCCATCCGGATCAACAAGCTCATCATGTCTCCTCCAGGGATGTAGTCCATCACAAAGTAGAGGCTCTCTTTGTCTTGGAAGGAATAGTAAAGCTTAACGACCCATTCGTTGTCCGCTTCTGCCAGGATATCTCTCTCAGCCTTGACGTGTGCCACCTGGTTACGATTCAGCACATCTTTCTTCCTCAGGGTTTTCATGGCATACAAAGCATGAGTGTCCACTTTGCAGGCAAGACACACTTCCCCAAAAGCACCAATGCCCAGAGTCTTGATTTTTACAAACATGGATTTGTCCATCTTGGCTCTCTTCAGCCGATTGTAGTTGGACTCCTTCTGATAGAGGATTTTCCTCATTTGTTCCCGCTCTGCTTCACAAAGGCCAGCCTTGGTGACAAAAGGACAGGAGAAAATATGGCAAAGTGTGATTATCACACATTTTCAAAAAGCTACATATACACACATACCTTTTACAAATCATTATTTTGTATCGTTTTGTATCACCTCTACTGTTAAATCAGGGATAATGATGGGTATTATTTATCTATGCCTTTTCTTTGCAAATTTTATAATTATGTTTATGATATATTGTGTATTTCACAATAGCACTTAGCCACTGGCATGCAATGTTGCTATTCTGAAAGGGAAATGTGTAACATTCATCTCTCTGTGTGGGAATTTTGTTGGAAATAGCAAACTTCTCAAGCCTCCACTAGTTATATGTTGTGTATATAATTCAGATTGCTTACTGTACTGTAAATGTGTGCACTGGTATGCAATTTCACCTTAATTCTTTGTTGTGGGAGGGGCTACAGACCATGTGATTAGAACTGGGCTTGTTCAGGACTCAAACTCACGTCAGCATATTTTCAAATTTAATTTATTACATTTGGCCCAGCTATTTTAAAACTGTTTATATGTCACTATTGATAGTTGTTTTGTTATGTGATTTATATGATTTGTATTTTATTGATTGTTTATTAATGTTGTGTTATTGATGTTGTTTGATGTATTTTGGGCTTGGCCTCATGTAAGCTGCACCGAGTCCCATGGGGAGATGGTAGCGGGGTACAAATAAAGTTTTATTTTTATTTATTATTAAACTCAATTTTAGGACAATTCGGTTTAGACTTCACTAGGAACAGTGAAGTCTCTCCTGACGTTTTGCCTGCTTAGAGACCTCATTGGACTTTCAGACTAGACAGAGACTCTATTAGACTCTAAAACAGAGAGATGCTTTGGACTATGGACTATTGATTCTGAAAAAGATGCCCTGTGTTACCTACAGAGAAACTACTTCAAATCCTATTTTTAACTGAACTGAAAAGCAAATACAGTGTTTCCTCACTGTTCCGTTCAATTCCAGGACCACCCGAGATAAGTGAAAATCCGTGAAATAGGGATGCTATATTAATTTTAATATTTATACGTTATTTTAGCATAATGTATAAATTTAAAATCAAAATAGCGTCGCTACTTTGCAGATTTTTTTTACCCACGCTTCCTCCCATGCCTCTGGCCTTTGCACTTCCAGGGTCTGTAGAGGCCAGGGAGGCAGGCCTTCCCCGTAATGCCTCTGGCCTCCGCACTTCTGGTGTCCATGGAGGCCAGAGGCGTGCCGAGGAAGGCCTGCCTTTCTAGCCTCCACAGTCCCCGGAACTGCAGAGGGCAGAGGCGTGGGAGGCAGGCCTTCCCCTCTGCGCCTCTGGCCTCCATGGACCCCAGAAGTGCAGAGATCAGAGGTGTGGCGGGCAAGGCCTGCCTCCTGCGCCTCTGGCCTCTGCACTTCCAGGGACTGCGGAGGCTAGAGAGGCAGGCCTTCCCCGCCACGCCTCTGACCTCCGCACTTCCATGATCTGCAGAGGACAAGGAGGGCAGAGGGAGTCCCGTCCCGCACACAAGCCTCCCAGGCCCATTGTATGTAAATATTTTATATTAATTTATTATTAATATTGATAAAAAGCGCAATACAGCGAGTCCACGTAAAGCGTACCACAAAATAGCAAGGGAACACTGTACCTGTATGAAGTTTGTGAATAAACCACCTACGTTACTTTTAAAGAAGTCTACTTATTTCTGTCTTTTGAAAGCATGAGTGAAAGGCAAATATATTTTAAGGGAAAGTAGATGTTTTGGGGCAATTAAAAGGAACACTTCTGAAACTTTGCTGAATGTGTGTGTGTGTGTGTTTATGCGTGTGTTTGTGCACTGGCATATCTTTGTTCCTAACCGTTCAAAGACATACTTAGGTGCATCAGTTTAACAGCTGAGAAACCTAGTTGCCTTGCATGAATGCTAACAAATGCCATTTTTACCAAGAGGTTATGGCAGTGGTTCTCAACCTGTGGGTCTCCAGGTGTTTTGGCCTACAATTTCCAGAAGTCTCAGACAGTTTACCAGCTGTTAGGATTTCTGGGAGTTGAAGGCCAAAATATCTGGGGACCCACAGGTTGAGAATCACTGCTTTAAAGGGACATTACTAACTAGAAAAGCCTGACAAATCTCAGAAATTAAAGTTGAGATGATGACTGTACTGGTAAAAGGGCAATATGCCACAGCTTTCTTCGTATTCTTTTGTGACTGAAAGAGGTATTGGTGGAGGGAGGGAAAAATTTACATCTAGCATTACTTCAAAGTTCTAAAATATCAACTCTATACTTTTGAATGTTACTGGAAAACCATGTTCATAAGTGGGAGAAATTTATACATGACAAAAAATGGTAACCTGTGATGGAAGCGTTCTCATAATATTTGTATGTACAAAAGCAAAGATGCATGTATCACAGGCACACTTATAATTACCTTGGCCATTTCTTGCTCCAACTGCAGCCGCCGGTTCATTTTCTGCTGGTAGGTCTTTATGACATTCTCCACATGCTGCTCCATGTAGAATTTAAAGGCAAAAGGTGAGTAACTCTTAATTCGGGACTCTCTCTTTTCTTCATCCTTGCCGTTCTTCCTGACTGGCACTGGGGATGTCTGGATTTGCTTTTTATCCTTGCTTGGTTTTTCAGCTTTGGTTTTGGTTTTGTCATGTCGTTCTCCATTCTCCTCACCTTTGCTGCTGGCTGGGCTTGGGACTGCCCGCAGAGTCTGCTCCATTCCTGCACACAGGGAGTTGATATCGAACTGCTCAGAATTATTGGGTAGCAGCAAATGCTTTGGATACGGTGGTGGAGGACACCTGAGCTCCTGACTGCTATAGTCAACCTCCAGCTGATAAGTGTTAGGTCCTCCAACAGGAAGAGGGTGCTGTTCAATCATTCCTAAACCATCCATAGCTGAATTCTGTGCAGATAACCAGCCAGGATGAGTAGGACCTACAGCAGTCTGCGGTTCTGGCCTCATCACACGTGTGCTCTTCACCGGTTGGAGAATATGAGCAGATGTGACTGCAGTCATGGAATTTGGAGATGCAATGGATGCATCAGATTTGCCTGGAGGAGTTTGCCTCATGGATACTGGCATCTGCTGCTGATGGTTGTTGAAAGAATTAGTCCTGCTGGGGACACATGCATCTGGCCGGAAGGGCACATGCGACCGAGGAGATGCTTCCAAAGTTGGGTTCTGCAATGAATCACGGCGGGAAGAAGAAGAGGATGAAGAGGAAGAGGTGGCTTGCCACTGTTGAAGTTGAGAATTGTTCATATCGTAGAGGTCCATGTTCAGGCTATTTCTAGATGGTGTCAACAGACCTGGCGGTGGTGGGCTGTCTGAAAACTCGTTCGGAAATGCTGGCCCTCTACTGATCACATGCATTGGGTGAGAAGATGGCATTGGCTGCTTGTGATGAGAGTGCAACATATACAGATTAGCTGGTGCCTGCTGGAACCCGTGCCCAGAACTACTTTGAGCAACTGAGACTTTATTTGGAAGGCTTGGATACCCTCCGTCTTGCTGCAACTTGTTCTGAAAAGACTGGCTCCGCTGAATCCCATACCCAAGAGCCTCGCCCTGCACCATGACAGGCTGCCTGCTGTAGTGCGGACTGTTTGAGCCATGGCTAGCCTGGAGCTGCAAAGCCTGGCTACTATGAGTAGCCACTGAGTAATTGATCACAGAGGAATCTATGTTGGAAGGATAGGCTTTCTGCTGGTGACCGCTAGATCCACTGTGGGCACCTAAGCCAGCCGGCCTTTGCATTGGAGGATTCATGGTTGCAGGCTGTGAAGCAGAGAGTAAATAGTCCATGTATGGTCTGGGACCTTCACCAAGCATGTTAGCAGCTTCTGCCCCAAAGCCTGTCCCTTCATATGACGGGTTGCTCATTTGGTGATAGGACGGAAACGATTCACTGGATCCTTCAAAACTTGGCCTACGGCTCACATTGTTTGGCATCATGCCCTTTCCTATATAGAGATAATAAACAGATTAATGTTACGAAAGCATTCATATGAGCATATTCAACAGTGTGGAAAAACTATGTTTTACTACAAATTCTAAACAACCCAGCCAGCCTGGCTGAAAGCCATGTTGCTATAAAATTCTGGGAACTAGCAACCCTCAAAGGAACTTTTCCAAGCTTTAATTCCTTCACACGCACAAACATACATCCTCAACCCTCTGTCACCAAATAAAGTGGTCAAATAGCTCTTCCTGGTAATTTAAAACCTTGGGTATTTGGCAAAGTTTATATTTCCATTTACACCAAATTAGAAACAGGGACATGGTAAATTGTGTGCCATTCTACATCATTACACACATATTAATGGTCCACAACTCTTAAAATAAGGAAGTGAAATAGGAATAGAACCACACATACCATATATATAAGCCAAGTTTTTCAGCCCCCTTTTTAGGCTGAAAAAGCCTCCCTTGGCTAATATTCGATTCAAGGTTATTTATTATTTTACTCTGTTATTATTATTTTTAATTATTACATTTATTATTTTACTCTATTTATTATTATTGGATTATTACATTATTTTACTCTATTATTTTTATTACATTTATTATTTTTCTCCATTGCTATTATTACATTTATTATTAGCTCTATTATTTTTATTACATGTATTATTTTACTCRATTTATTATTGTTATTACATTTMCATTATTTTACTCTTTTATTATTGTTATTATTACATTTCCATTATTTTACTCTTTTATTATTATTACATTTGTTATTTTACTCAATTATTACTGTTATTATTTCATTTCCATTATTTTACTCTATTAYTATTATTGCATTTATTATTGTACTCTCTTTAATATTAYTGGAAATATACGTAAGCACATTTACATTGAAGAAGGTTAGAATAATGTTTAATCAGAGTTGGACAGTCTTATCTTAAATTACAGTTTTATGTAAATATTCAAAAACATTTAACCTACTGATGCCTCAATGAATGTAATTTAATTGGTATCTATTTTTTATTTTGAAATTTACCAGTAGCTGCTGTATTTCCCACTCTCGGCTTATATTCGAGTCAATACGTTTTCCCAGTTTTTTGTGGTAAAATTAGGTGGCTCGGCTTATATTCGGGCCGACTTATACTCAAGTATATACAGTAGTTTAAAAGTCTATCTCCAAAGTGATTTCACTGAAAACAATGGAAATTTTTCACATTTCATTTTGTGAATTCTCTTTCACAGCTTCTAATCCAAACAAGAGTTACTGCAAAACTTCTATTTCATTACATATCTCACCACATTAAATGTCTAGGAATGAAAGTAAATATTACCAAAAAGTCCCCAGGTGCAAGCCACCTATCTTTTAAAGAAAGTCCTGAAAACAGGGCCAGGAGAAGTAACAACTTACGTTCACATTCACATTGGGATCAAATCCAGATTAAACAGTCCAGAAATAGAAAGGAAACTGTAAGTCCGCTCATGCTTACCTGAAGAAGTCTGCTTAATTACACGGACTATTTGTTCATTTCTAGGGTCCAAGTATCCCATTTTGCTAATGTATTCCAAAGCTGCTTCGATGCTTCTACTCCCAGTCTGTTTGAGAGCTCTTATAGCCATCTCCTAGACAAAATAGAAATACAGACACAATGATGAGGACTTAAGAAAGGATCTGGAAAGCACAATAGTACTGAAACTTTAAAAATCTCCATATGAACCTCTTTCTGATATCTGAATAAGCTTTAATCTGTAACAATATTTTGGATAACAAATGCATATGCCCAGAAATTGAAAAAGTTATTTCTGGACTAGAAATTCCAGAATCGTCTAAAGCTTTCATGGCCGGAATCACTAGGTTGTTGTAAGTTTTCCGGGCTGTATGGCTATGCTTCAGAAGCATTCTCTCCTGACATTTCACCTCCATCTATGGTGTCACAACCTCTGAGGATGCCTACCATAGATGCAGGCGAAAGATCAGGAGAGAATGCTTCTGGAGCATGGCCATAGAGCCCAGAAAACTCAAAACAACCCAATTCCAGAATCTCCAAACAATATTACCAGTGTGGAGGACTCTAGAAATGATAGCCTAAAAAAAGTAGGGTCTGTGGGCAATATAGCAATCCCCCTTAGAAGAGGCATTTTCTATCTGAAAAAGAGAAAGGAAGGGCATTCTGACATATTTTTGTAAGAACTCCTACGTAAAAACAGTCAACATTTGGAAACACAACATGAGTGTTTTGAAACATATCAACATGCAAAATGAGCCAAGATCTTATAAACTTTTAGCATGACATAAATATTCCCCCAGTGCAGTTATTTCGGATCCTACAGTTGTGGAATTGACTGTGCAGTGGACCTCGTGGAGTTGTTGTTTTCAATTTTATGTATAGGTTCTGTAACTCCCTGCCTAGAGCTCGGCTACACTGGAATTAATGCAGTTTAACGGCATTTTAACAGCCATGGCTCTATGAGATTAGGGAAATTTTAATCTCAAGGTAAAAGTTTCCCCTTGATATTACGTCTAGTCGTGTCTGACTCTGGGGGGTGCTCACCTCCATTTTTAAGCTGAAGAGCCGGCATGGTCCATAGACACCTCCAAGGTCATGTGGCCAGCATGACTGCATTACCTTCCTGCAGAAGTGGTACCTATTGATCTACTTACATTTGCATGTTTTTGAACTGCTAGGCAGGCAGAAGCTGGGACTAACAGCAGGAGCTCACCCCGCTCCCCAGATTCGAAACACCAAACTTTCAATCGGCAAGTTCAGCAGACCATTTAGTCTTACAAGATCTTAAACCTTTGCTGCCAAAGATTGCTGGTGCCTCACCAAAATACCAAAAGTCCCAGGATTCCATACTATTGAGCCAAGGCAGTTAAAGTGGTGTCAAACTGCATTAATTCTACAGTGTAGATGCAACCCAAGAAGATTAGAACCCTCGTTGCTATCTTTCCATAAGCAGGTGAAAGCTTTTTTGTTTCAGCAAGCCTTTGAAGTCTGACTGTAAATATTTTTCATTTTACAAGTATTTAATACTCTTAACTTTTGTGTGATGCAACTTACTTTGAGTTTTGCAAGCCACTCTAGAGACTGGGAAAAGGGCAGGAGGAGGAAGAAAAACCCCCTACTCAAGGCAAATTCATCAACCACACAGATCAAAATGAAAGATAGGGCAGTGTGTATATTTGTTGAATATTTTGATGTATCTACATTGTAGAATTAATGCAATTTGACATAGTTTTGAAGGCTCAATTTGATGAAATCATGGGATTTGTAGTCAGTGAGGCAGCAGTGAGAAAACTAAAGACTTTGCAAAACTACAGCTTCCATGATTCCATAGAACTGAGCCATTAACAGTTACAGTGATGTCAAAGTACATTGCTTCTACAGTGTAGATGCACCCTTAGACAATACTGAAGAAAGCACAACTACTTAGACAACCTTTTTTACACTAGCATAGTGCATCAACACAATTATGGCCTAAACTCACTCTCCTAAACCAAACAAGTCTGTGTTATCCATCTAGGTGTGTTAGAAATAGGTTATCTTAAAAATAATAAAATTAAAAAAATAAAATAAAGGAAAAGGGCCATTTCTAGATGTCCTAGTCATCTGCAAACCCAATCCACACATTTTACAGAAAACCTACACACATGGATAGATGCCTACATAAAAACTCCAACCATCACCCAAATAAAAAAAGAAGCACATCTAAAGCCCTGGCAGACCATGCAAAAAGAATCTGCGAACCCCACCTCCTCCAAGATGAACCACCTAAACTGGGCTCTACAGGCCAATGGATACTCCACCTCAGACATCAGAAGAGTTGCAAGACCAAGAACAAGCCACGAGAGAAAAGAGAAAGATCCACCCAGAGGAAAAGTGTTCTTGCCATACATCAAGGGAACCACCGACTGCATAGGGAAGCTGAAACACAACATTCAAATTATCTACAGACACACTATGAAAATCCAGCAAATGCTACATTCAGCAAAGGACAAGAGGGATCCTCTCACCTCTGCAGGAGCCTACTGTATACCATGCAGCTGTGGACAAGTCTACATTGGGACCACCAAACGCAGCATTGTCCGAACACAATGATGAAAGGCACTGCAAACTATTTCAACCAGAGAAGTCAGCCATAGCTGAGCACCTGATGAACCAGCCTGGACACAACGTATTATTTGGGAACCCAGAAATGTTGGACCATTCTAACAACCACCAAGTCAGACTACACAGAGAAGCCACTAAAATCCACAAGCATGTGGACAACATCAACAGAAAGGAGGAAGCCATGAAAATGAACAAAATTTGGCTACCAGTATTAAAAAACTCTAAAATTATAACAGTAAATAAAGAACAAAACTCAAACACAGGGAACTCCAAAGAAACAATCAGGAACAGCTAATCACCTCTTAACAAAGAATTCTCGCAGGCAGTAACAGGGCACACCTAAAAACTGTCAGGCCTACAAATGCTAATCAAGGTGACCAACTGAAACCTTCACACCTAGCTCCAACAGACAAGAGTTCTTCCTCCCACCCTGGACTTTCCACAGATATATAAACTCAATTTTCCTAGTTTCCAACAGGGGAATTCAAGAATCAATCAAGGCCAGCTAACACTTCCCAACAAAGGATTCCCCAGGGCAGGGAACAGACAGGCTTTGAAGCTGCAAAGCTACTCAATGTTAATCAAGGTGGCCAACTGCAACATTCACACTTGCCTCAAACAGACCAGAGTTATTTCTCCCACCATGGGCACTCCACAGATATATAAACCCCACTTGCCTAGTTTCCAACAGACCCCTCAACCTCTGAGGATGTGGGCAAAATGTCAGGAGAGAATGCTTCTGGAACATGGCCATACAGCCTGGAAAACTCACAACAACCCAATAATAAAATCGCTTTCCAACTCTGCTCAGGAAAGAAACATACATGTATTTTATAATTCACCACTGAACAGAGCTGTCTAGAGTAGGTTGGCTGTTGCAACAGCATGACTTAGCAACCCAAGACACACTCACAAGAGAACCAAATTCTGGCAAAGAGACAAAAGGCTCCCAAATGGGAAGGGATGTGTTCTGTTCTGCTCAGAGCAGCAGTTGCACACAGCATCGACTCAGCTGCGCCTGAGATTGCCTTCTTTTATTAGCATGCTTCAGAGACATTTAAAGTCCTTTCCAGTCTTTCTTAGGAGAACAAACACATAATCGCAGCTTGTTAAAAAAAGAAACCATTGTTGTGTCACACAGAAAGCACACAGCAAGGGCAGCAAGTTAGTTTAAGGGATTTAGGGCAGGTTTTGTGCCACACAAAATACTGTCTTATAAGAAAGGGAAATGGCTTTCGGTTTGGGGGAAATGAGTAGAGGACCAATACTGCTGTCCATCAGCATCAGTTGCCTCACTCTACCTATTACCAATATATTAATTTAGGAAAGTTCTGTTACACAACTGTCTCTTTAATGGGTTTCAGCTATCAAGTAACGCAAGACAAGAGTGATTTCATTACGAGCCATGCTGAATTGGTTGAAGAAAGGAACATCTATGTTGAAGCAAAAGGAATGTCAGAGGACTGGATGACGGAAAAGACAAGGCATCGGTGATGACCCGGAGACTAGCGATCACAAGTCTGACAGTAGCAGAGTATGGTTGAGTAGGAAACACAAGCTCCAAAGTTTCAGATGGCTGTTCTTTGCTTGCTAGTAATTTCCCCCACTCATCAATAGCTTGAACAAGCGATCGATATGAAGAGGTTGGGGTTAATGGATTGTTTGGTTACAGCAATTTATTGAGCATTTCAATTAGGTATTTCAGTTACAAGCATATCCTATTTACATATCTTTAAGACACTCTCTAAACCAGTGTTTCTCAACCTTTGTAATGCCGAGACCCTCATGTTGTGGTGACCCCCAACCATAACATTAATTTCTTTGCTACTTCATAACTGCAATTTTGCTACTGTTATGAATCGTCATGTTAATATCTGATATGCAGAATGTATTTTTATTCAATGGACCAAATTTGGCACAAATACCCGATATGTCCAAATCTGAATACTGGTGGGGTTGAGGGACTGAGTTTGTCATTTGGGAGTTGTAGTTGCTGGGATTTATAGTTCACCTGCAATCAAAGAGCATTATAAATGCCACCGATGATGGAATTGAACCAAACTTGGCACAAAGAACTCTCATAACTATAACCAACAGAAAATACTGGAAGAGTTTGGTGGGCATTGACATTGAGTTTTGGAGTTGTAGTTCACCTGCATCCAGAGAGCACTGTGGACTCAAACAATGATAGATCTGGACCAAGCTTGGCACAAATACTTAATATGTCTAAATGTGCACACTGGTGGAGTTTGAGGAAAATAGACCTTGACATTTGGGAGTTGTAGTTGCTAGGATTTATAGTTCACCTACAATCAAAGAGCATTCTGAACACCACCAACGATAGAATTGGGCCAAAACTTCCCACATAGAACCCCCATGCCTTGAAGGGACTTACTGGTGCAAGCTTCTTTCCAGCCTCACACGCTCTCCCTCGTCCGCACATGCGCACCACACTGTCATGCACCGAGCATGCTTGCTCTCAGAAACAGCCCTCCCTTTGGCTGAGAGGCC